ACGCTGGGAGTAGTGAAGAGAGCTAATATCTATGATCAATTTCCCACTCCTCAATCCCTATTAGTATCTTCTATTCACTTTTAACTGCTGTCCTCCTCCCCTTCTCGCAACACCACTGAATCTTCAGCCCTCAAAACTACAGCTCTCCAAAGCTGCTTTCCTCTTCTCAGCAACCAACATCTCTACTTACTTCGGGAACATCTGTCATCATTGCAAAACTGAATTTGTTTCTTGTTCTTGGAATTGCAAAAATGTAATGCCAAGTCTCCAAAAGAAATTCTTTTCATTAAAGGAAGTTTAGCATGCAACCACTAGAGCTAGTAGTATTTACTTATTCAGTCATTTATTTCATTAATATTGAGATTACTGTGACGTTATTTGAATCTAAAATCAAAGATTTTAAGATACATTTTGAAATATTATGAGGCTTAATTCAATTCTGAAAGCAAGAAACTCCATGAAGTGTGGTGGAGCAACAGTTAAGACACATCATTTTAAATATAAAAGAAAGGGGAAAAAGAAGTTCAAGAGGATACATACACATAAAATCAGGCATCTTCAGATTAAGCTGCATTATTTAAAATTCCTTTTTCAATATCTTACAAATACAAGCAAGTTTTTACATGTATTAGGTACAATATTTTCAGTCCTAAATCATAAGTACATCAGAATCACTGTTTGTACAATTCAAATTAATTAAAAGGCAAAATTGTGTGATCAATGTAGCATTAACATAAAGTTTTAATTCTTACATACTTTACAAAGCATTTTAAAGTTTTGAAGCATGTCCAAAACCAAGGAGACAGACACGAAGTGTGCATACTGTTTTATATGAATATGTGTGATAGATAGGCCCAATATATAAACAATAAAATTAACAGGCAATATTAATCAGAATAAAAATAAACTCATCCCTCAGAATCAGGAGGGAAGAAACTAGCCCAAAATGCCAAGTTTCTATTTTCCTGTCTTTAACTGCACGTAAATTCTTTTCCGCATAATTTGAAGCTTTATAATTTAATGTGACATTTGCACAGCTACTCAAGTAAAAAAATCCCCCAAACATCAACAGTTACAGAAATAAACAAACCTAACAACATCTAATACCAGCAATGATTGGACTTAGGTTACCATGCCATTTAAGCCCAGCTAGGTGTTACTGCATGACCTAGTGAAGTCTTTGGATTATTATGTACTGATCTGTCAATGTTTTCTTCATCATAAGCTTCCTCTCTTACCTTTCTAAAACACCATCTAAACAGGGAGTCTATCTGACCTGTTCTTGTTATTTTTTTTTAAAGACACAAAAATATCTTTAAAAATTAAAATGATAGCATTAAGCCAATTCATTTTTAATCATGACTTTTTGCAACAGGAATATTGCTAAACAAAATAAGCACATTGAAGTCACCTTTTTCAATAAAAATTTAAAAGACGATCCCTAAAAAACAGGCAGAACAGAAACAAAGGATTCCAAAAGAAAACCTTTTTGGTGCTTTCAAAACAACTATAGATTTGTTAAGTTAGAAGAATAGATGTCAGCTGCTAAAAGAAAAAAGAATCTATTTCAAAGAGAAGGATCACACCATATTAACTATATTGTTCTTAAAAAAAAAAAAAAAAAACAACCCAGCCTGCTTAACTTCCAGAATGTGTTGATGATGGGAAAAAATGCGTATAACCGCAACTAGAACTTTCCAGCAGCAATGCAGTATTACTTCAAATGGGAATGTGTGGTAAATCAAAGAAATAGCAGGGGAAAAGTATGATCCAGTTCTTAGCGATTCATCAAAACCAGTTGTCTGTAGATAGACCAAACATCAGAAGACTTATCAGCTAAACAATCTGTCCAAAGAATTAAGTTCCTACGCAAGACACCAGAATCCAGGCACTATTTTCCGTTCTCAAATTAAATGTTCCCTCTCCGATTTGCAAATAAAAGAACATCACCTACTAAAGAAAGTATTTATTTTGATGTTAACGTTTTTTCACTACATTATGAATGGGGGTTTGGTAGCCTTAAAATGCAGAATTTATTCATTTCTACAACATACCACAATGAGGCTGCAGCAAAATTTTAGTTTTATAGGATTAAAATGGCCACTAATTCTGCATTACAGCCAAAAACATGTTATTACCTAATAGCACTAAATGTCTTGAAAATACGCAGCACCTCACATTTAGAGAAGAGCTGAGGTGTTACAAGTTGAGATGAATATATATGGCTATGTGATCAAAAAAGGGGAAAAAAATAAAACTGACATACCGACAAAAAAAATGTAAAAATCAGACACACATTTGCACTTGTTTCCTTCCTGTCTAAACAAGCAAGGAATTGTAAAGCTAAAATTGCATTTATGCAACTTTATGGTTGCAACACTGCACACAAGTCAAGAAAACTAAAATTAGACTTCCCTCAGCAATTGTAACTTGTAATTTTTTACAATTGTAAATTGTAATTGCTACACTTTGTATGCAAAAAAGTTAGAATTACAGTATGTTACAGCTACACTTTGTACGCAAAAAAGTTAGAATTACAGTATGTTATTCTGCCTTTTAAACACTACAAACACCGAAGCAAGAATGTGGGAATCGTAACTAATTTCACCAGCACGTATGAATTCAAGATCTCAAAAAGATCATTGCATTAAATATAGAAACAACCTATAATACTGGTTAATAGCAATTTGTTTATTCTATTTATGAACCCACTGCTGCTCCTTTACTGTCTCTGGTTGTTGTAGTAACACAGGGAAACAACATTAAGAACGTGAAAATACTACACATTCTCTTCAATCTTGATTTGTTAAAGCTAATTTTATTTAGACGGAACACACAACTTTTTACTTTTCTCACTTACACAAGCACAAGTGTTGCAACGCTCCCTTGCCACTCATTGGTTAAATGCTAACACTATACCAAAGACTTGGAATCCTGCTCCACCAATTAGGAGCAGTGATTATCACTCCCCTTCAGTTCTTCCATTTTCAGTACTACCAAACTAAGTATAAGGCTTTTTCACACCCACAATCAAGGAAGTTTGTGACTAGTCCAGAACACAATTCACTTCATCAGCATGCTAACCCAACTCAGAAAACATCTGTAGTACACATAATGTTCCTACCTTGCCTTTCAAAATATTTAATGTTGAAAAACCTGAAAGCATATTTTACTGAAACTATTTTGTGACAACAAACTATGGTAACATAACTGTGACCCTTGACTGAGGCAAGAAGTCAAAAGTAAAAGATGCAAAAAGAAGAATTACTGGTTTAGTTGACAAAGATTAATGAAATCTTCTCTTAGAACTAAGCAAAGTAACTTCACAAAAAGAAGTCTAATATAAATACTACCTTGTTAAAAACCTGGCTCTATTACCTACAAACCCAGCTTTTGAGAATTTCCTATGTCACAAGTGCCAGAAGTCAGTTAATTAGTGAATATAAAGGTGCATGAACTAATGCACGTTCATGTAAAAATGTTCATTTGCATGAATATTAATTTGGTTTACATATTATATTCGAATATTAATATAGAAATGTCATTTAAGAGGAATTAAGTCAATGCACACCTATAGCTTAGGATGCCAGAATCAGTTCAGTTGAAAGTCTTACCCCAAGACTTCCCAAAGCTATGCCAGAGTCACCACTTTAAAGCTTTTAAGCTTTTCAAGTCAACAGCACTAATAACCAGCTGTTTCTACCGGAAAAAGAAATGCTAGCGAGACAGACAGCTGTACTGTGTGGCTGCCAGATTTACTCCGTGTGTGGCCACAGGTGTTGACCGTAGTGTTGTAGGAGCCAGTGGAGAAAGACAAAAGCAATTGGCATTAAAAGCTGTACTAACAGAAGGCATCCAATATTCAAGTTTCACAGAAGTCATTTTAACTGTCAGCTCTTCGAAGAATGACTCTCTTTTCTTCTCTGATTTGATTCTGGCTATATCCAGAAGACAAGAAGAGCAAGTACATGAGTTTTTCTACAAAGTTAAAAGTTATGACCCTTTCTCATTGCCATTCTTGAAAACTGTAGTACCTGACTCAAAGAGGTGTGATACAGATAGACTGATACTTGCAAACCTCAGTAACATCTCCACTACTTAAATATTTCTGCTTGAAAAGCATCATGAAAGTGTTAAAAAATAAAATCCACTAATTCTAATGTCAAGAGTCTGAGGATCATTAACTTTAGCTGGTATGATACTCCATAAATCAAAAGGTTTTTCAGTAAAGCTTATTTTTATGACATAGCTAAGCAAATATTTCTTTCATTGAGTAGGATGTTACACAGAAACAAGGAAAAAAAATAGATTATTATATTACCATAAGTTCCAAGACGTACTGCAGCCAAGAATTCAACACAAATTATTACAGTAACTCTGAAGTCCAAACGGGAAACAATGCAGTAGCTACTTAAAACCCATCCACAGCACCAAAAAATTAAGTGAAGCTGAATTACCAACAAGAAACTTTTGAAATGTTGTAAGGCTATAATATTTAGTTTTTCCTGCTGTAACACTGGAAGAAGACTGAAAACTTCAATGAAAAATTTGTCTTGTATGTGAGACTTCATACATGTATTTAATGAATTATGTTGAATTTTGCAATGGAAGGAATTTTAATTCCATTGTCTAGCACCTAATTACACTTCACAGATTTTTATTATGCAACATACATTATTTCATATTCAAGTCAGTTAATATTTTACAAGTAATCAGCCATAGCTACTCTAGAACACACTAAGTCATACTGTTAAACACACATGTACTATGCAAAGTATTTTTCTATTCATCTGTTCTATGAAATAGATCATAAGGATGACTGATCAGAGTTACAGTAATGTACTTACGCAAGTCAGGCTCTGACCTAAAGACTTTAGAAATTCTTTAAATTCAAAAGGCTTTGAAGCAGGTCTGTATGTACTTAGAGTATTAGTTGGACATACATACACTCTACGCAAAGTCCTCCTGAAAAAAGTAAGATACTATAAGAAAGAAATTACCTGGACCGTCTTGTAATGATCTTGATGTGAAATTAATTTTTCTTTTTTTTCCTTCAGGAAATCCATTTCTAGAATACTATGTTTTTCCAGTAAATATTCCAATTCCTATGAAGTTTATAAAATAAAATACATGAAGTTACAAACATTTGCGAATTGTGAAAATACAGATTCAGTTAATCATTGTAACTAATTTCATTTCTGAAGACTATGACATTTGCTCTCATAATATACACAGAGATACAGAGTTGTGTAAGAAAATTCTGATTGCAGTCTTTAAATTGAGATAATATTTTCAAGAAGTATTAGGTATTTAAAAATCAAAGGCATGTCGTATAAGGAGCAGCTAAGGACTTTGGGTTTGTCTAGTTTAGAGAGGAGGCTGAGAGGTGACCTCATTGCTCTCTGTACCTCTCCACGTGCTCTCCTCAGGAAGCAAGGTGCTGATCACTTCTCCCTGGTATTCAGGGATAGGAGACGTGGGAATGGTTCAAAGCTGTGCCAGGGGATGTTTAGACTGGACATTAGGAAGCATTTCTTTACCGAGAGGCTGGTCAAACACTGGAACGGGCTTCATAAAGAGGTGGTTGATGCCCCAACCCTGACAGTGTTTAAGATGCATTTGGACAATGCCCTTAATAATATGCTTTAACTTTTGGTGAGCCCTGAAGTGCTCAGGCAGTTGGACCATACGATTGTTGTATGTGCCTTCCAACTGGAACAATTCTATTTTAATTATTTCCATGTTTTTAATAGCTGTTCTTTCTGCATTTGAAAAGCAGCATATTAAATGTACTTCTAGAAAATGGTTTCGCTACAAAGGCAGAAATCCCATTACATACAGCCCTAATGATCTCTATCTACATCTCCAAAATTAATAACATTTTGAAATATTTTGTCATCTTGCTGAGACCCAGTCTAGAAGCCTGCTCAACATGAACCAATAGAGAGGAAGGAGAATGACACTACTGACAATAAACTTCAAAATTATTTGCTATACAAAGAGCTCAAGATTTTTATTTTTTCTTAATGCAGCTGTTGCTCCTACCAAACTCATTCCCACTATATATAAGCTGTTGGCAACATTTCAGTTGCTCAAGAACAACTATTTCTGCAGCCACGCAGGAAGCCAGTATAGAAACAAATGACCTGCCAGATCACTGTACAGCTATTCAAACAAAGGCACAACTAAAAAGGTCATAAGGAGGACAGAAAGAGCAGGTCTGCTTAGTTCAATCCTGCTTTTGGACGAAATAATAAAAACAGTTCTTAAGATTTAAGGTCTTTGATTCAACTGCAGAGATAGAAACCGATTGTGCAATACTTCTTAAATTCAGAGCCTAGCCTATCTCATCTTATAGTCGGTATTCACTCTTCCCTTTCAGGCCTCCTCTATGGACCTAATTACTAGCAAAATCAATCCATTCCAGACCTCCTCAGCTTTGGCTCTAGTTATTTATCCTCATTTTCATTTCCAACTAGCCATTTTGTCCTTCTCTAGCACACCTTGATAGCTATCATGGAACAGTATTAAGAATAGCAGAAATTAAACTTACTCTCCCACGCCCCAGTGACCTTTTGCTAACTCAGATGCATAATTACAGGCATAGCCCTGCTTGGTACTCTAGCATATTCAGGTCAGAAGGAATATGAAGAATTTAGTTAGCAGAGCTCCCAGGGCCGGGGAGAGTGTTATGTGTTACGTTCAGACAGATAGTCAAAGACACTTAACTTCAGTGACCACATGCTCACTCTCAAAATACGGGGGAATCACAATACCTTCCAACCACATGGCTCAATGCTAAGAAAACTTGTCAACTTTTTTTTTTTCCTTCCCCCCCCCGCCCCGAATTTTTTTTTTCCTGAAACTTTATTAAAATTCGCCTAAAAGAGACACCAGACATGGAAAAAAAAAAAAGAAAGTATTTTTGCTAATTTTGGCCAATTTCTCTGGAATTTCGCTAATTTCTACAAAAAATGAATGGCAAATCTCTGCCAGCTCCAACTACATTTAAATCCTATATGAATTGCAAACATTTGCATTAAAAAACCTATTCATACCTGTTTAATTTTTAGTTTTTCTTCTTCAACAGTGCAAAGCTTGATTTCTAGGTTTGTAACAGCTTGTTGAAGGTAGCTCTTCGGTTCATTTGTTCTCTGTGTCTCAGCATCAATCAAAGCAACGGTTGACGTAACTAAAGTCTTGTCTTCAATTACATTCGAAGAGGTAACTGGAGTATGTGCTTGAATCTAATTCATATGAGAAACAAAATGGTAAAGGAAATGGTAACGGGAATTTAACATTCCAGTCAAGTCAAATTTCATTTCCAGATGACATTACAGAACTTAAGAACTGTAAATACTAAGGTTACTTTTTTGAAACCACACTTCTCTGAAATTGGCCACGCACACTCATATGTAGGATGTGCTGGCCAAAAAGAAAGCTTCAACAACGGAACAGTAGCTAGTAATTCTAGATGGACATCAATCCTTCCAATCTCCTCGACTGCTTTTCAAGAATACTTTAGGAGAAAGCTTTAAGGAGGAGGATGGCACAGATACCGCAGTTTCCAATGAGGTCAAAATACTCAAAAGAGGTGGAAAGAGACAGAATTAAAACTGAATCATCTGTCCCAAAGCATCAGGCTTACAGGGAAATAAACTTTCATTGGATTAGTCACTCCATGTTTTCACCCAATGCAGACTGCAAACAGTAGCCATGGAAAGGGAACACAAATTTTTTGTACTAAAATAAATACTCATCTTGATGCTAGACCAACAGAACAAAGTAATTGGGACATGTCTAATGCCATTTCAGTGAACTGTAGAAGTACAAAAACTGAAATGGAGTCATCTAGAATACACAACCCAAAACAGATGGAACACTGATAATAAGCCCATATTTTCAGAAAAGCACAAAAATAAATCACGTGAGGTTTAAAATATTTTGTTGTATTATTAACAAAAGCCAAAGGTGTGGGTTTTTTTTTTTTCCTTCTTAAAAAAAAAGGCAAAAACTTGTTTATATCACAGCAAAGGAACTTCAAAGAAAAAAGCTGGTAAATTAATTTCAGCTGCCGCTTTTTCAACAACTATTTGAAAGACAAGGACTTGAAATTTGGGGAGGGGTGGTGAAAGGAACATCTCAATGTGTTTATTAAGAGACATTTGATTGATCTGATTTAATCCATTCCCTTAACACCTTTTATTCAAACAGACACTCAAATAATAGATTGACCTTTCAAAAAATAAGTATCTTTCAAAGGATTCAAGGAAATAAACAAACAAAAATAGCTGAGATCTTGACAGTACATGGATACAGAAGATCAAGTAGACAAAACAACCAGAAAGGAAACTGCAGTTTGTGCTCTGAATTCCCCTTCCATAAGGAGCAAAGAGAAACTAGATGTGCTAATTCTATTTCTATTACTCAAGATTAGAATCTGGCACTGCCAAAAATTTTGATGTTGGAACACTTTAGTTCTTTTAAGATGAAACCTCAACGAGCTCTGGAGATACAATTATAGAAGAATACATTTCTCCTAATATCCTCCTCTAACAGGTGTAAGAATATTTTATTATAGTTTTATGCCAGCCATTTTCCTTCAGTTCTATCTAAAAGTGCAAAGTATCATCTTCATTTCAAAATGTTAAAGGACCTCCTCTCAATTCCCTTACTCCCTTTAGTAACACTTGCTAATGTTGTATTCTTTAGTTTATATTATTTCCTGCATTAGAGAGCTTATGGAACCATGGGTCTGTTAGTAGCTGACCAGAACAAGAGGAAAAAAATTGAAAAATAGCCTACAACTAGAATTTGCACACATAATAATTCAGAAGTAACAAAGTGTATTTCTTATTTTTAGTAAGACTACCTAACCAAATGACTTTTGTGTTTTAAAAAATACACCTTAGTGTATTTCGCCTTAGTATTCTGGAATAGATATAGTATAGAATAGTATAGAAAAAATACACCTTAGTATTCTGGAATATCCAAAGTGTTCTATCCAGAGAACACACAAGCCAAAGTTGCTGGCCTAGCTCAAACAAGAAGGGATACAGGTTATTCACATTTCACTGTTAGCCAAAATAAAAAAAGGTAGGATCTGTTGTGGCTGAAGAAAAGCATATTTTGATCATCTTGCCAGTAATAGAAATTTCCTTATCAACACATTGTCAGGCAGATGAAGAGCTTTCAACATAGAAAATTACCCTGGCTGTCATCAATCAAAAAAGAAAACAAACACTCCACCCCCTTCAAGAAAAAAAAAAAAACAACATACTTTTGGATTTCTAAAAAAAATTTCTGTGGGATCATTTGCATCTGGGCATATCTCTTCTTCACTTTTTATAGACTTTCCCCAGAACATTAGGCTAGGAACAACTACTAAACAGTAACTAATTCATTAGTAAGACTGAACTACTGGAGCATACTAGCCACAGTCCTTCTGGAAGTGTGAACACACAGACACTGCTCAAAGGAAAACCATTAAGAGTCAGTTTAATCAAAACAAGTATTTTTTACACATTGTTTAAATAGCTCTAGAGAAATGCTTTTAAATGGTCAGATTATGGAAATCTGACTTAATCGTGAAATTCAACTTTCACCAGTCACCTAAGACTTGATGAGACTACCAGAAAAATAAAGACAAGTGCTGAAAGCAGGAGGGTTGCAAACTAGCCCAAAATATTGATTGGTTCAGAGAAAGCCAAAGGCACTTTGTACTGCAAGTATATACCACTATGCATCCTGAAACAAGGAACTTCATAATCAATAAACTTGTTCAAATAGATGTCATTGCAACCAATGGCAATAAAAATTCACCTGGGATGGTAAATCTATTTAATTCTCGTCCTTAGAAAACTAGCATTCTTGTGCTAGTCTCCAGGCAGAAATTCTTTTCCCTCCCTTGCTCACCTAATCGTTTAGTTGAAAACTAAAAAGAAGCTAACATCAGTTCTCAGCATTATTGAAGCCATAAGGAAAAATCAAGAGGACACAACTAGGACTGTGTCAGATGACCCCCCCCCAAAAAAAAAAATCAACTTTAAAAGTAATGGGGGGAAAAAACAAAGTAAAATATAATAAAATAAAAAAAACTAAAAGGAATTTAATTATAATTATGTAAAGATTAAACATTAATTCTCTAATCCTAAAATGACTTGAGAAAACATAAAAGTGTGATATGTATGTACAGCCATAATCTCTACAGCTTTAACAGTAACAAATTTTCTTAGAGAACCTTCCTGCTACTGCTTCCTCCTTTCACATCCAGCCCTATCAGCATACCTTTAACTTTTAATAACTATTTAACACACTTATCTCTTGCAGTCCATACCACAGTAGTATGGTGTCTCCCAGCTATAGGATTTAAACATAATTTAAAAATTATTTTACTTCAAAGTCTGTATCATAGGACATATCTGTTGCTCTTAAAAGGCAATTCAATCTAAATTTCTACAGAAAAGATACAATGCTAAGATATTTAATACATCGAGTTCCCATACTGAAACACAAAAATTGTGGGTTTACCTGTTCTTCAGGAACAGCTGAGTTTATAACATTGTTAGCTGTTTGAATCGATGTTACCACATTATCACCTGATAAACTGAATGAGTCAGAAGGAACCAGGCAGGAAGAAGGCACAGAGTGCTCCAGAAGAACATCAGGAGATATATTGACTTCAGATACTAATGCAAAAATAAAAACAGAAAACACACACAATATGAAGAGGCATTCAAAAATTAATTTTGTTTCTGAAATCTATACCTAGCAAAACCTGTCACACTAGCAACAAGTATAGTCATACTAATGTAAAGTTATGTACCTCTTACAATCTAATTGCACTGAAGAGTAATTCACAGAATCACGGAATTTTCAGAGTTAGAAGGGACCTCTAGAGATCATCTAATCCAACTCCCCTGCTAAAGCAGGATTGCCTAGAGCACATTACTCAGGACTGCATCCAGGTGGGTCTTGAAAATCTCCAGAGAAGGAGACTCCACAATCTCCCTGGGCAGCCTGTGCCAGTGCTCTCTCACCCGAACTGTAAAGAAGTTTTTCCGTGTGTTGGAACGGAACTTTCTATGTTCCAACTTGCACCCATTGCCCCTTGTCCTGTCACTGGGAACCACCGAGAAGAGTCTGGCTCCATCCTCCTTCAACCCACCCTTTAGATACTTGTAAGTAATAATAAGGTCTCCCCTCAGCCTTCTCTTCTCCAGGCTAAAGAGTCCCAGCTCTCTCAGCCTTTCCTCATAAGGGAGATGCTCCAATCCCTCAATCATCTTGGTTGCCCTTCGCTGGACTCTCTCCAGCAGTTCCCTGTCCCTTTTGAACTGGGGAGCCCAAAACTGGACACAGTACTCCAGTTGTGGCCCCACCAGTGCCGAGTAGAGGGGGAGAATGACCTCCCTCAACCTACTGGTCACACTCATACAATTACATACAAAGTTCCCATGGTTTTGAGTACTATAAACTTAAGGACATTCAAAACTGTACAGTCACACCAAATTTAGACTTGTAACTTACACACACGTTTCACAAGACAATGGTCAAAGGCAGCAGTTTTAACTTTTGTCTCTTTCCATTCAAATAACCTTTCAGCTTCAGCATGATCTTTAATCAGTTTAAGTCAACTGTAAAACCATACTTCAAATTTCCCAAGTGTTATAAATTTTAAAGGTAAAAATCCTTAACTGTTTTAGAAGACATATACAAACAGCTTACTAAGACACATGATAAAAGCAGTTTTACATTTTATAAGAGGTCAAAAGATAAAAAAAATGACGATGCCTCTAGCTAATAAAACTTAAGTATAATTAATACTGGAGTGAGATCTTCCATAACAATTTCCAGTTATGGTACAAACATCCTGAACAGTGGATCATCATTATCAACCCAACACAACAGAAACTTGAGCACTTTTATGAAAGATTCAGACATAAACTAAATAAAAAGGAGAAGAGAAAGCTTTACATACATTTCAATTTAACAGCAAAGTGCTGCAAACTTTGATAAAGGTTAGCTACCGGTATGCCTTTGCAGTAGACAAAAGGTATATCTAATTGCCATAGAAAAAGCAGCTCACATTATCATTACAAATCTGGTAAAATGTGAAAGATGCCACTAGCCCGGAGCAAGGTTCAGCCTCTCAATATCACTGTTTAATACTGCACAAGTATGCATACACAGCACAAACAAGGGTATACATTGCCCTAAAGGCATTCAAAAGGACACACTAATCCTTGAATCCAGGTGCTCCTTCTTTACCTCCCAGTTCTGGGTTTTAGGTTAACATAGAGAGGCATGCAAATCTCATCTAACAAAAAGAAGAAAGAAAATAGACCATGAGATAGAAAAAGTATCAAGATGCTAATTGCAGCAATAGTAGATCTGGACATGTGGGGAGGAAAAAAAAATAAAAAAAACTACACCCACCAAAAAAACAGCTGAGCAGAAAATGGAAACTTGGATGAAAAGCCTAGAGGACAGCACTTCAGCAAACAGAACGGGAACCAATCTAAGTAACCAGGACAAAACAAAGGACTTGGACACAACTGCATCTTTAACAGTAAACTCTTCTCCAGAATTGGAAATGGGACTTTTTAGGCTTCCTTTATATACCATAAGATATTTGTCAAACTCCTCCCCTTCCAAATATCTGCTTACAAAGGCAGCTCCCTATAACAATTACCTACTCCTTTACTTCAAATGACAGTGAGATGACAGAAAAGACCTTTTTGCCTCTAAAAATACAGTAACATCTCTGTTTTATGCTATTACTTCATACTCTGAATTCCAGTTTGAAATAAATTTCCAACAGATGGAAAACCAACTAAAATAATGTACAGCAGGCAATTCTGACTGAGCAGACAAGCTATTTCTCTTACCAAAACTGGCAACTAACAAGGAAAAACCTAGCATGACACCAATCCTTATGGTGCTAGCGTTCATCCTTTGGTGACGTTAACATTTATCCTTTGGTGATGACCACCATAGTACAGGCATAGTTCACATACAAATACTTTATCACAAAAGTAAAAACTGAAACTGAGTCTGGATACAGATGAGGACTGCAGACTGACAGAGATTAAAGCTTACGGTATTCACGTATTTTGGGGTATGCAATACTAGACATACGACTTCATTTTTCAGATAATACAGTTCTATGTGGAACCTTCTACAATCAAACTGAGCTTTCAGTGATTCCAATTATAGTAATGAACGTTTAGCGTTTTCAGGGGGAAGAAAAAACAGAAACAAAAACCCCACCTCTCAAGTTGTCAAAATAAAGCCTAGGAAATGAGGAGCAACAACCGGTGACCACCTCTGATCACTGTGATTTAAAATTATTCAACTAAATATACGACCTTACAGAAGACAAGAAGAGGTGGCAACTCTCCAAGGTATCATTCAAACATCTTTTTCACAAAACCTTCTTTTCATTTTCAGCAATGTTAAAGATTCATAAATTGGGCATTCCTAGAATTACATGTGCTATGTCTGTAATTCAAGCTCTCTTTATTCATTCCTTTTGTGTATATACTGGTGAAATTGCATTAGTGTTTTAGTTCAGCTCAAAATTCGCTTACGAAAATGACCTC